TTTTGAGGGACCATAACCGAACAGTATTGTCATTACTACCTGACATCAACTCAGTGCCATCTGGAGAAAAGGCTACAGTATAGACATAACTAGTATGTCCTTCTATAATGCGTGGTTCCAGATCTAAATTCTCAAGGGACCACAGTCGCACTGAATTATCTGAGCTACCTGATGCTATTTGAGTGACATCCGGAGAGAACACACTCATGACCCAACTAGTATGCCCTTCCAGAATGCGTGGCTCCTGATTAAGATTTTCGATGGACCATAGTCGCACTGTATTATCTGAGCTACCTGATGCTATTTGAGTACCATCTGGAGAGAACATTACATTCATGACCCAACCGACATACCCTTCCAGAATGCGTGGTTCCTGACTCGGATTCTTGAGGGACCACCATCCGGTGAGAACGCTACGCTTCGAATAGAGTCTGTATGCCCCTTTAAAACGTATGGCTCTTTATTCGGTTTTTGAGAGACCACAGCCGTACTGTCCAATCGCTACTACCTGATGCCAGCTTGGTGCCGTCCGGGGAGAAACTTACACTTGTAACTGGCCAGCTATGTTCTCCTAAGATCCGTGGTTTTTGATGACTGTTTTTAAGGGACTATAGTCGTACCGTATTGTCCATGCTACCCGATGCTAATTGGGTGCAATCTGGTGAGAAATCAACACTTAAAATAGCTTTAGTATGTCCTTCAAAAGTATGAGGACGCTCTAATGTCTTGACGTTGTAGAGTCAAAATTTATTTTCTATACCAACAAGATGTCTGTTGCAAGCATATGCGCAGCATTCGCTGCGATGAATTAAATAAGTTGCCTCCCCAAAATACGCCGTAACTTAAATTTGCCCCAGCAATATTGAAATTATTTAAATGGATAATTATTTTCAAAGGCAGGCCAGAAATTTTCTGGCGGGATCCTAAAATTTATATTATATATGTATTATTTAAAAGTTGAGTTCGAAAAAATCATATCTAGCATTTTTGTCGCCTTCAAAAATAATTACCCAAATCATAACCACTAAAAACTATTCCAACTTTATTGGGAATTATAATTGAATTTGCTGCGACTATTTAAACTCGTATCTGGTTTATAATTTTTAATAGTTAAAAAGATTCTCCTTAAATCTAATAGCACGTTGTACATATATTGAATTTTCATCGTGTTGCAAATACAATGTCATTGTTGAATATCTAATATTTTATAATGATTTATATTTATAAGATGCAGATTTGATGAGTTTATTAATTTTTGTTTGAATATGTACTCTGCTAAAAAACACACAATCTCAGAGTCACTTAGTATTAATTTTCCTTCAAATAGTGTATACCTAGCTTTTTTGCAAATGGTATTGGGCAACAAAATATTTGTGGATAAATCGATACTGGTCATCATTGCGACTTAAAGGGGAGTTGTAGCGTAAAATTCGTGTCTCTGGGTCCTTATATCCAAAAAATTTGACACGTCAGTCTGTGTCATCTTCGTATGAATATTTACTACTATTTCATTATCCTTAAACATTCCAACTGCCAAGCCTTTGTTAAATCATATAAAATGTCTCATAAAATAATTTTCTTCTAACATTTTAAGAGCAAATTTTTCTTCATCATCTAACTGGATGCGTGATAAACGGTCATTAGATCTGTCAAACCATTTTTCCACAAACATATTATACAGTATAAGGTTAATCGTGTTATAGTCTCTTTCAAGTTCTCCTCTTTTCGATCTAAATCTGGTATGACTTGCATTGCAATCTTTAGAATAAAAGAATTACTTAATAACTGATATAAATTAAGAATACTGTTTAAGACGGTTTCATATCTTTGTGCATCCCATGTCTTTTGAGCGACGGCATTTTGTTTTTCGACGTATTTCCTAATATATTCTTGGATTTTCTCTTTAGAAAAAGGCGATATCCAGATTTCCTGAAAAATCTTAGGTTTATGATTAAGAATAAACTTTTGCTAATACTTTGTACTTAAATATTCCGGTCGACAGCTAATAATAACTTTGGCATCCCACTCGTAGAGTCTATTTCTATTATAAGAATTTGATTGACGATCCTTGATTGCATCGTATTCATCTAAAATAAACACGAATTTACAGCTTTGTTTTAAGTTATCGATAATTTCCTCAGAAAAATTTCACTCTCTTAAATACTTTTGAATTATTCTCTCGCTAGGATTATCAATAGTTGAAAGTGAAATAAACAATGAAACAAGTTTACCATCTAACTTATCTTTTAAGAAATAATCCTCCCATAAACGTTGAGCAAGAAGACGGTTAAAAGTAGACTTTCCCGCACTAGCCTCTCCTAGGAGCAACAAAACTTTTTTTTTTGAAGCCAAGAGAGCGCTAACCTCAGCCTCTATGTCAAAAGATTTCACGGAATTTAAGGACCACTTTCCTTTTGGTGGCACATATAAGTCTAACGCATTTTTAATCTCCTCGTCTTCTTCAAGTTCACATAAAAAGTCTTTTTTGATATTTCCCAATTGCAATAATTTAAGACGAGCCTCAATTAACAATTCAGAATCAACTTCTAATTTCTCTTTTAAATTCATCATATGTAGCACGTATATAGAAGAATCATGTGCATTCTCATTAGGAGCTATTTTATAAATCATCTTTAGCGTAATTTTTTAAATTTTCATCGTCTTGGTTCGCTAACAGTCGCAAGATTTCCAATATTCATTCTTTGATTATTGAATGTTTGCCCTATTGTACTTCGTTCTGATATAGATTACCTAAAAACCTAATAGCCCCTTGCTATATCTTTAAATATTTTGTATGCAGGAAATCTGTCCTAAGCGTTGGCACAGGCCTATTAAAAACCATTTGTTCTTTCTATGAAGATTCTGGTGGACAAACTGCCGATCAAACTGCTCGAGTTTTACCAACTGATTTCCTTGAATAAAAATATAGAGCCAAATAACATTGTCTTGTCTGTTTAAACCTTACTTTTTGACTAATATCCTCTACACCTTCTCTTAATGGTTGAACAATTACAACTAATTCTTGAGTGTGACTTACGATTTCATCAAAGTTTTCAAATGCCTCACTGAAATCTTTAAAGGTATCCAGCAGTTTACTTGGATCTAAATTTCTAACTGCATTAAATATATTTATAGTTTTACTAGGAATTTTAAAAGTTCACGCATAATTTCTTGCCATAATTTTTTATCACTTGGGATATACAACAATGCCTGACAGGCGTAGTGAGCATGGTAAGCTAGCGCCGGATTATCTTTTAACTCTTTAAGCTGTTGATATACAAGAGCATGCAGCTTCTCACGACTGATATTTTAATGCCTACTCGCACCATGGCATCTAATAACGAATAGATTGTTTGTAATAGTTCGCTGAGTTGAGTGAAGTCTTGTTTATGCAGAGCTTCCAATATCGATACTAAACAATTAATATAGAATTAGGCACATTTTGAATCATTTTAGTTAAGCCAAACAAATGTTCAGAATGTAGTGATCATAAATTTCTTTATTTAGAATAGATGCCAAGACGGAGATTTCATTGACTCCTTTTGGAATTTCCTCTGGGAAAATAGTTGAATAGTTGGATAATCTCGTAAACAAAATTCGTCAAATGATGTACAGTATTTTTATTCTCGCTCGGATCTCTAATGTGTCCACATGTAATTGAACGATGGAGTAATTATGGGAATGTGCATGCCGCCTGTATCCAAAGAACACCTGTCCAAATATATCTTAATACCCTTATTTTCTTACCAAATCGACAATTCCGAATATTTCTCCTAGCACGTTGTGTGCGTTACACATCCATGCTATCATGTTCAACACGTTTTGTGGAGTACGCAGCCGTACTCGTTCTAGACACTCCTAAAGGAAGTGGGAAAACCATGTTCACTCCACCGGCACGTCGTGGGGAGTACACGGCCGCACTTCTTTAAATGACACGTTGTGGGAGTACACAGCCGTGCTTTCCGATCACCAAATTTCTCAACTCAAACTCAAATGTATTATTCCGTTTCAAAGTGTCCAAATTTGTTCCAATTTTTCTAACACGTTGTGGGGGTACACAGCCGTGTTTCCGGATTCTGGAATATTTATTGCTGTTCGAAACTGATTTGGCAGCAGATGAAGAGTATCGTTACGTGTGATGTACTAGCATTAACGGGGATGGGTGGGTGGGAAGTTCGATAAGCCAGAAATCAAAAGTTTCAGGCAAACGTAGCAGCAGAAGAAAACATAAAATATCACCTATTCGAACATCCGTAGATTTATTTTTAATTCTTACATAATCGCACTATCCTTGATTTGTTAGTGAAACCTTATTATCATTTTTACTTCATCACACACAGCAAAAATTGTAACCAGGTCCCGATCCTCGCGATAATAACCCTCCCGTGACTTCGTCTCGGTCGGTTCTAGTTCCGGAGTAGGATTATCAGATTGCATGTACTGTAATAGGCCAAATCCCGAGTGCTGTGAAATGTCGTCTATCTTCGAATGCAGCTTAAATGTTACAAGAGGATCTTCGGCAAAAAATTCTAGTTTTGGTAAGTTTTCTGTTTGCAATCTATTTCTTGATGTTTCACGAAATTTCGTGTCATACTTTTTGGCTTCATCATAGCATACACGTGCATAACCTATTTCACCTGAATATTTGTAAATATCACCACGTTCTAAATAGGTTTCGGCTAGACGTCTTTTCTTGTTAAGGAATCGAGTAAATCTCTGTTTCTTAAATTCATTGATTGTATTTTTATAGGCTTCTAATGCATCTAATAAATAATCATCGGATTTTTGTTTCCTGACATTTTCTAAGTAAGCCTTACCCTCTTTATAATGCTTATCAGACATGTTATTTTCATTTATTTCTTTTTTACTGCTTGAGGTACTGTAATACTCAACGGTTATCACAAAATACAGTATACGTTGTGCATAGATGCGTATTGTAATACGATACACAAAATTTTTAATTTTTTAAATTTCACAATTTCATTAAGGGCACTTATCGTATGGCTTCACTAACTGCATGGGTCGTCAATGATAATCCCGAGTCTCTAAATGTGGATCCAGAGGGACTCGTGATTAATTACATTGGTATTTTTCATTCATAAAATTTTGGCAAAAGTAGAAATTACTGTATTTGTTTTCACTATAGCGTATTAATATTTTGTTATTAAACTAAAGGTACTGGTAGAAATGCAGCTACAATAAGAACAAATAATCGAATTATTCGACAAAGTGGATTGTTTTATTTTGAAGTTCATATCCAAGATATAGGAGAAAACGGGTAAATTTTTCTACCGTCATTAACGGAGTCAATTTTTTTGCATAGACTTATAATTTTTTCGATTTTTTTTGGAAGAACTGTCGGGATCGGATTTTGTGCAAAGACCGTAGACTTAAATAAATTACCAGGTAATTGTATTCTTTTTTATTAATAATCTAGTTATATTTTTTCAAAGCTAATTAACATATTGTCATAATTATAGGGTGTGATGATAACTCGTGGGGTTTTCACAGTAATGGAGATATTTTTTGTTATTCTGATTTGGGTAGGTCGTATGGGCCGTCTTACACCACTGGTGATACTATTGGATGTTGTTTAAATTTTTCACACAAGACCATATCATTTATCAAAAATGGCGTGCATCTTGGTAATTTTTTACAATAACAAAATTTTTTTTTGGAAATAATAATCGTCCTTATTTAATACGATCGCTATCGAAGGAATTGCGTTCCGATGGTTCGAGGGAAATATATATCCTTGCATTGGGCTAAAATCAAGGGGCGGTAGTATAAAAGTTAATTTTGGTCATAAAAGGTTTAAATATGAAGGTAAATCATTTGACATTATCAGAATTATAGGTGCCGATATTCATAATAATATTTTTTTGAGTAGCAATGAATGACGACGATATTGAAGACAAATCTTTAAAAGAAAGCTGGAACAAGATCATGTCTAAGTACGATGATCGATTACTAAGGGACAGGTTCAAAGAGTTAACACGGTCATTTGAAATCGATTCAAATGATCATGCTTTTTTACAATACCGGGCGAAGGCATATTTCATTATGGGAAAATATGAAGAGGCACTTTCAGATTTAACAAAATTGCTTGAAATCAATCAGAACGATGAGTATGCACTAAGTTATCGAGGAGAGATTTATTATGTTACGGAAAAAAATGACAAATCAATAGAAGATTTAGATAAATTAGTAAGAATTAATCCGAGTAATGAATGGGCACAAAAAGCCCTGGAAGAAGTCAACAGGGGGTGAGTATAAACAATTATATATATCTCTCTCGAAAATACTAACTAATCGCTAAATACTAAATTATAGGAAGTAAGTATAAACATTTATATAATATTGATTTCTACTTTTCTAATTTTATTCCTAATTTTAAATTTTATGTATGCTAAACTATCAGGAAGTAAGTATGGAATTTGATTTTTAGGATATATTCACGGACGACTCTTCTTATAGTTTTAAACTCTCATTATTGGTCATCAGGCTGTAAGTATTTATATATTTGATTCAATAATGCAATTTTTATTTAATTTAGCGTTAAATGTTCCAAAATCGTTTCTTTATTGACCATTAGTTAGTGAGTAGTCTAGTAATCAATTGACAATATTCCCAAATATACGTTCTAAATAATTTGATACCGAATGAAATATTTAGCTTGTAAGTAATCATCATGGTTTTTAATATTGGAGTTTTTATCTAGTTAAAGTAAACGTCAAAAAAAATACTTATAATTGATTATCATATTATAATTAGACAGTAAGAATCTAAAATCGCAGTAACTTTGAATACAATCTTTTTGGCCAACGCATCATTGATACTTCCTAATTTACTGTTGATCAAACATACAGAAAGTGAGTATCGAACGCTCTGATATACGAGCCAAGTTTCCAGTAAGTTTAAACATTAATATAATATCAAATAACAATTTTCTGATTGATTCCTAGCTTGTAAGTAATTAAGAATTAGATTCAATATTGTTTGTAAGCACAATGAAAATACATTTAACACTGAAACTGGCATGAAATAACAATTCTCTAACCACCGTTCGTCAGAGCGTGAGTAATTATATCATTGTTCATAATTTATATAAAATTTTTGACTAATATAAATAAATTTCACCACATTTAGATCGTGAGTAACGAATATTAGATTCACAATTCTTTTAAGTACAAATATCCAGTTAAAGTGTTCAGTAACCAATCAAAACATAAATTAACATCCTAATTATTAGAATGTAAGTCATTAGCCTTATATTGGGCAATATTTAGATTTAAAATCACCAATTCATTGAAATACACTTGTCAATTATTAGTTCGTAAGTATCGAATCATTTTACCGCGATTTTTCTAATATGAACCTTTTAATTTGACAAGAAATTTCATACCTTTATAACTGGCCATTAGTATGTAAGTAATCGTAGATTGATTTTATATTGGTTTTAAATAATAAGAACTCCGACTGATTTTTTATCTTTAAACATAACATATGAACAATAAATAAGGTTGTGAGTATTGTACATTTTATATACATTTATTTAGACACATGTTTCTTAGAATTAACGTTAAATCCATTTCTTAATTGACTGATAGCAAGTGAGCAACCGAACATTTAAAAATTGATACTCCTTATAATATTACCTTTTGAACTAATTATGATCGAATGTATTTTTCTAATCGACAATAAGCGAGTAAGTAACACATTTTTTTGATAAGTAAAAGTTTTTCTGATATTATTAATTAAATATTTAATATATTTTTTCTGATTAATATCATCAACAATAGTCGGTAAGCATTCGATTTGCACACAATCGCTTCAAGTTAATTTTCTACCCAATTAGTTATTGAATAACATAATACACTTAAGCTGTTATTAGCCCGTGAGTAATTGAACATTATATCAACTGAGGTTTTTTTCAAATCTAATTTTACGAAATTTAATATCAAATAATGCTTTCAATCGACCGCTAGGGAGTAAGTAATTAAGCGCTTAGTCTATGATGTTCTTAAATCACAAAATATTGATATACCTAATTTGATGATTTAATTTAATCATTTTAATTGGTTAAAGCAAGTAAGTAATTCAGCATTAGAATCGCGATTCTTATTTAAGCACTAAATATTATTAATCTCCTAATTTATCATTAGCGAGTGAGTAACTTGATTTTTGGACTCGTGATGTTTTTTAAATGTGTTTCTAGCTAATTTAATGTCGAACGATGCCTTTTAAACTATCCGACAGCCCGTGAGTAACATAGTTTAAGCTCCTAATAAATGCAATCTAATTTATATCAATTTATACTAAAAAACATTGCATTGTTATCATTTTGTTAGTTTGTGAGTAACAGTTTATTTTGATTCCATAATATTTTTAACATGTCTGATATGACATGTTTAACGTTTAATATTAAAATACAATGCTTCTCTAACTAATAGGAGGTAAGTAATCGAGAATTTACAGCATATTCATAACAAGATATATACCCGGTTATCTCCAATTAATTGTTGAACTAATTTATAATTAGCGAGTAAGTAATAGTCGTCAGTATTTACGAAAATTTCTAAAATTAAGCTATCTTCAAATACTAAATCGCTTAATAAAATTATCCATCAGTTTGTGCGTATTTGTGTTTTTTAATGGACTTTTTCTTGATTTTGACATCAATTTAACTTCATATGACGCTTCTAACTAATTAGAATGTAAGTAAACTTATATCTTGTAATTGTCATAATTTTAAAAGCCAATTTCTTAATTCATCAATATTTTACTGTAAAAATACTATTTTATCAGAGAGTAAGTAATTGCGCACGCATGTAAATTAAAATATAATTTTTACAGCCTTCTAACTGTTGATTAATCATGGATTTCTCATTGATTTTTGATTTTTAAATAAGACGGTAGGCATTCATACCTCAATAAATTTAAAATTTTTCCATCAAGATTAATACTGATTTAACAATTTCCTTCTCCAATCGGTCATCAGAGAGTAAGTTATTTTGATGATTTATAAGATATTTTCACGAAATTAAACATCATAAAAAAATTTTTTTTACTAATCACAACTTCAATAACTAGGAAGTGAGCGTTTTTTATTTATTTATTTAAAATGCAATTTTTTCTTCAAATTTATATTAATCAAGCATTTTCTTATTAATAATTAGACGGTGAGTATTTAATTTTTAAGAAATAGTTCTTGAATGCAGTTTTCTAGTTTTCCTGATCACTGTTAATTACTACCGTAGAATGTAAGTAATAAGGCTTACTGTAGCTTAATATATATATCATTTCTTATTTGTTATTGAATAATATTATTTGTTCAATAATTAGCTCGTGAGTGATAAAGATTTTAATTTTACGTGAACTTTAAAATATGAACTCTACTCTTGATTAACATAAATCAAATTGACGTGAAAAACACTTTATAATTAATTATTAGTGGGTAAGTGATCGAGGATTCTTTTTCATATAACGTTTCTATTAATTTTTACATTAACAAAGCATTAATAATACACATGAAAATTAGATTGTGAGTACAGTACATTTAATTAAAAATTAATTGCAATTGATTTTACGTTTTTATGTACATTTTCTGATTAATCATCTGTTAATATAGTCGGTAAGCTCACAAGTTCATTGATTCTTCAGATTCTATTTCTATCTAACTTCCAGCCTGACTTCTCTGCTTGATATAAAATAAATATAAGCGCGTGAGTATTCTATATTTTACTTTCATAAAAAGCAATTTATTCGGTGATTATATTAGTTTAAATTGAATGACATAAATGTTTAAAATTTAAATATTTTTTTCAAATAAATCTTATTCTACAAACTGTCTTTAATAATCATTTTATAATAAAATAAGAGAATTCAAGCAATTGTACGATTGAATTTTTATTTAATCTTATCTAACATATTAAATGTTATTCCATACTACAAATACAGATGGCACAACATTTTAATCAAGGAATTCGAAAGAAACTTCAATAATTGGACCAGCGACAACGACATTATTGATGATTTTATTCGAAAAAAGCAACTTAAAGCTTTATATCATACAGATATTATTGAGTGGATTCCTTATGAAAGATTTAAGAATATAGAGCGCCTTGCAAAAGGAGGGTTTGGTGAAATTTATACGGCTACCTGGATTGATGGATACATCATTCATTGGGACTCTTATAATAACGGATGGAAAAGGGTTAATGGAAACAAAATTTATTGTTTAAAATTTCTCATAAACTGGGCCAAGGAAATAAATGAAGAGATCGTAGAAATTTTTTTGCGTCAGGTGTTGTGCTTATGTAATATTTTTGGCTTATTTAAATTGACACTTACAAATATATTTATTTTTTATATTTGCAGATTGAAAATCAACTTAAATTCCGTGGACAACGTGCAATTTCTATATATGGTATAACAAAAGGCCCAGATGGTTATATGATGGTTATGCAATATGCAAAAGAAGGAAGTCTCCGGAAAATGTTGGATAAATATTATAATAACTTGACTTGGAAGGATATAACACGAATCTTGGCCAATGTTGCAAAATGCCTTAATGAAATTCATAATTCGGGGTTGGTTCACAAAGATTTTCATATCGGAAATATTGTGATGCAGAAACTAGACGAGGCTTATGTTACAGATTTTGGTCTTAGCGAACCTTTGACGTCAAAAGATTCAGAAATATTTGGTGTTCTTCCGTATTTGGCACCCGAAATTTTTACCAAGCATAAATTCACCAAAGAATGCGATATATATGCTTTTGGAATCATCATGTCAGAAGTATTAACCGGCGATCCTCCTTATAATGACGAGCCGCATGATGACAAACTTGCGAAAATGATCTTCCATGGCTACCGCCCCCGAATCAGATGCCAAGTTCCTCAGCTCCTTAGTGATCTGATGGAAAGATGTTGGAATTACAACGTCTCAAATAGACCGACTGCAAAGGAAATATTTGAAATTCTAAATGGGTATTATCGTGATTCGTGTCTTCCATTTTCTGAATCAGAAATAATTAGGCAGTTTAGAAGCACACCAAAACATTGTGTAAGCAAGATTTCACCACTGAATTACGATAAATACCTGTCAGAATTTTACACAAGCAAACTCTCGAGTTTTAGCAGACTTCGTGAAACTATTGGAACTATACAAGGTACACGAAAACCACGGTTTATCATTATAATTGAAATTGATTGTGTTTACATTTATTTACTTACTGGCATTTTTTAGTGAGCAAGCAATTAAATTTTACTATTCCCGACGATTTATAGTGTGTCGACATAGCTTTTAAAAATATATGTTATCTTTATTTAAATTAGCATAAAATTATTCATATAAAATTTCAATATTCAATATTCCATTTCTAAAATTTAAGCCAATATTATATTTTTATATTGATAATCATGATATTTTACATTGTGCATACAGTCCCCTCAATAAATGAAGGACTGCTTAAGATCTATTATAATTAAATTAAAATAGTTTTCATATATTAAACCTTTTATTTTATATTTTAAAAACATATTTCACATATGAATTCTGTATATGGTCAAATTTTTATTAAATTTGAACAAACTTTTATTATTACATTTAATGATTTTTTCCTGAACAAAAAATTTTGACACTTATACAATTTTTATAATTATTATTTCAACAAGTAATTTTATATCAAGAAATTTTGTTCAATATATATTAAGTATTAAATATTAAGTTTCATAAATTTTTATCTGGTATTTAAAATTTATTTAATAAAATATACAGTCTTAAAAATAACAAAATATAATAAATTATTATATATAATTTTTATATATAAATTTTTTATTTTATTAAAAATGTTAGCTATTATATATTAAGAAAACCCCCTTATAATAAAATTTTTATATAATAATTATTAAGAGTTTTGATTATGTGATAATTATTTATCAATTTATATACTGTATATATAAATCTTTGATTCCATATTTATTTTTTTATAACTTTATATTATTATTTTTAAAAATGATTATTCAAAGAACCTACTATTTTTGAACATGGAAAAATTATTAAAACTAGCAAATATAAAATAAGTGAAAGAAAAATAGCTGAAATATTAAACTATATAAAAACTAATATTTATAATGTTATTTTTACTTTTAAAAATAATAATTATGCAAGACCTCTTTTTAGAAGTAGCAGACCAACTATTTTAACAAAAAAGATATTAATAATTGTTAAAAAAAGAAAAAAACAATACTTAAAGAAATATATAAAAAATTTATTAATTCTACTTCAACAAATGTTTGTATAAATACTATACAAAAATTTTTTATAGGCAAGATTTTTATGAAAAAATTAAAATTAGAAAAGTACTTATTAATAAAATCAATAGAAAAAAATTATTATAAGCTAAAAAAAGATGAAATTAGAAAATTAATAAAATAATATTATTTGAAATAATAAATATAAATTTGAATTATTTATGAGTTTGAAGAAAATTAAATAAAAAATATAATATAAATTGTCTTATTTCTACAATAAAATCAAATCAAAAAGTAAATATTTGAAAATGTTTTGCTAAAAATAGTTATAGTTTTTTAATTAGATTAGAAAAGAAAATAACATTATAAATTTATATAAATATGTTAGAAAATAATTTACTATCTTATTTAAATACTTTATAAAACAAAAAAAAATTTATTTATTTTATAAAAATAACATGTCTCTATATTGTCATATGCCAAACCAATCTCAAAGACTAGCATAGGATGAAAAACTAGTAGTAGAGAGTTACTTTATTTAGAACATAATTCTAATGTGGTATGCTATAGTTCATAAAGAACATACTTGAGGTTTTCAAGATCATAAGACAAGAGGCATAACAATTATAATTGTATGAAAATAAATATAATTATGATCATTTGTAAAGAACTATTTATTATCAAAACATTATTATACTCCTAATTCTACCAATTCTACCTTTAATTTTCCTACAAGTCTCTTTCTATTCCTTTACAACCTTCCTATAATTTCTCTATTATTTCTTTTGTATGCTAAATACATAATTATTCTATTTATATGAAAATAAATAAAGAATATAATTGGTATGCTAAATTATTGTGAGTAACAAATAATACAAATATGGAAATAATTAATAAAAGGCTAATTTGTAGTGTTTTCTCAATCCTTTATATTTATAACTTGAGTATTATCACCTAATCATGTGATATAATAATATATTTTAATTGGATATTATAAACATTTGACCAAAATCCTTAATTATCTCAAAAGTGGTGACCGAAACCTTTTTCCAGGTTCTAAGTAAAATTGTTCAGCGGATAAAAATACTATAGATTTATTATTAGCAAATTAATGTATTAAATCGATATTTGGTGTGAAATTTCCTATTTCGGAAAAATTAAACTTTTAGGTTTAACAATATATAACAAAATTAACAAAAAATTAAATAAATAAAAATAATATAAATGTTTTTTTTGATCTGCTCAAAGTATTAATCTAAATTTATTAAATATTTATGAAATAAATTAGAAAAAAAAGTGAGTGCACACAAATTATTACCAACAAATATAAATAAATTATATAAAATATTAAAGAAAAATAAATAAAAATTAATATTAAAAAATATCACAATTTTATTATTAAAAAAAAACTCTTTCCATCAATCAATTTTTTACTTGAAATTTTCCTTATTTAGTAATAGTCTTTCAAGAAACACTTTTTCTCTCAGCACTCTCAAGTGCACTCAACTGTTAACTAACTTCCAATATAAAGCATCTCACAACAAACAGTAACAAAAAACAATTCCTACATGCTACTATCCATCAGGGTAGGAACTAACTTTTTCAAATATACTATCTCGATTTTAGCAATAATATAATTAACAAAACAGAATTCACAAGATCTCTCCTCATTACCAACCTTACAAACTTCTCTAACCAATTTCTCATTGTAAAAGAAAGAAAAAACATTGAGGAAATCATCAAAGCAGGCACTACAAATGATATCTTTATTCTTAACTTTACAATGGAAATAGTCAAAAAAAAGGATCAAGGAAAACTCCTTCAAATTCATATCGCAATCTCCAATATCAGTATAAGGGGTAAAATAAAATAACCAATAATAAAATATTTGTCCAATGTTGGCAAGTGTCATGATAATAAAACCATAGACATGTAATTAACATGACGAAAGTGAACAACGATGATAGAGGATCATACGCGCCCCACAATGAACAACGATACTACACCAACACATGATTAATCTATGTTGAATGACACGAGATCTGATCCTGTTATGACTAGTCAATGTAATAACTGTAAGCAACAACAATGACATTGTGAGATTGTTCATAATCATGTAATAGTGCTTAAAATCATTATTTTGTAACTAGTATAGTTAGCTTAATCTATTTTATGCGATGACAAGAAAATGTATAAATAAGTAAGAAAATGTTATTAATAAAGGTGTGCGTATACAAGAAGTGAGAAATATTCGGCCAAATCATGCGCCTCAAATTACCATTTTTTTATCATAAACTATCAGTAACGGTTTCGCGAATCTCTGTCAACATTAGCGACAGACTCGCCGTTTGCCCATTACATCAGGAACACCCCTCAACTTTTAATATATCAGCAACATAGCAGAAAAAATAGAAAAATCCAACTTGACACCAAACTCTATAATCGTTTTCAAGAATTTCTCTCTCTCTCCCAAGGAATTGCAAAAAACTCCAGTCAGCTTATCCCTGAAAATGATCATTCACCTATCACTTCTCCTGTTCTCCAAAAAAGAAATATTGAACAAACAGTCACAATATATACACATGCAAACCTCTTGTCTATCACTTCTTCTTCTTCCCAAATTGGCAACCCTATAGAAAATAGTAAAACATCTGATAAATCAATGAAACTCTTTGACCTCGATCCACCAAATCCTAAAAATAACAACTTAACAAGTACCTCGGTACTACCTTTTATTCCTACAAACTCTCTTTCTAGTCTCAATATGGAAATCAGTACCATCTATCCAATATACCAATCAAGTATCATGATAGTAGATGACATTGTCGACCTTGACAAACTCTCTAAGTCTCCTTTCCAGCCTACTAATTTAAAAAATTCATCTCCAAATCCTCATAACCAAACCACCTCCTGGTTATCATCTTTCAATAACCAAATCCAAAGGGAACTCCAACAAATAAAGAATATTAAACAACATGAAATTCTTAGAGAAAGCACTGAACAACTAACCAAAAAATTATTACCAGCTTCCAATGATATTAATATCATCATTGAAACAATTAATAAAATCTGTAAGGCACCCAACTTCTTTCAAGCAATTATTAGCAAACTTAAACACAAGGACCGTACATTCTTCAGTACCTTCACAAACAAAGAGCAAATAATGCCCTCTTACCAAAAAGAATTCATTAATATTGAGAAAGACTTCCAAGAAAAATATAAAAATGAACACAATCTCTTTTTTATCAACTTCGAAACCAGGAAAAAAATTCATGTCATAATTTGTATCATTCTTTTTATTATCTTTCTCAGAACTATTTATATGGAGAACCTTTCTTTTTATGAATTAGCTAGCATTCTTTCTTATCTCATTAACTATTTTATCAGAAAACTACTTTTCTTTGTCAAATACATATCTCTCAAAGAAGCATTTAACAAATACTTTGATGAAATTCTTTCTGATCTCCCACAAAACCCAAAGGATATTTCATCCCAAGTTAAAATTAAACTCACATGCAATCTCCCAATTACTGACAAATCCTATCTCATTCAAACACTTTGTATTCTTCATTCTTATTACAAGTTTAACAAACTCCCTGAATTATATTTTAAATCAAATTCTCAATTTTCGGACAATCCCAATGAGCTTTTAACAAAATACAAAACTATCTTTCCCATTAAAAAAAGGAGTGAATTATCCAAACTTTAGAACTACAAAAAATATCTTCATGAGGAATACCAAGTACCATTCAAATTACCTGACTCCTATTTCAAACTTTCTCCTCCCAAAAAACCTCTTCCTTCTATATACCATCTACTCGAACCCAAATAGACCCGATGCATGACGATAGTCATGCAAGGGTTATTATCACGAAGATCACCTTACATGTGATTTGTGTTACAAATTTTGGTATTAAGTAGTTATGACGTGATGATAGGATCATCAGTGCTTGTTTTTCTTCACTACCTGATTTTCTATCTGGCTCTTTCGTATAGGACTACCTACAACTAGTAATGACCGACGCGAATATCTCAAAAACTGACCTCGAAAATGTCTGTCAAGCATTAGGAATTGCTACAGATGGTGTAAAGGCAGACTTAATCCAAAGAATAAGAAGATGTCTCAAGGGAAAGAACCATGCAGATAGCTGTAACACAGAGGGAAATGGTAGAGAGGAAGATGAAGATACGAACACTGTAGTTCATGACAATTACTCTGATACATCTGAAATAGGCGACCTGAACCAGCAAGCAAGAACTCTAAAGGAGTTAGCACATCTGTCACGTAAAGGAATAGAATTATCCGACGCATCAACAAGCCAATTAGAAAAAGAACAGTCAGTGACATTTGAGAATAACAGAGGGGAACCAAAGTTAAACATAATAAATAATAGAAAATGCTCATTGACAAATGATAAGGAAACCAAATCTAAAGATGGCAAATTATTAACAGAGTTTAAAAGGTTGAAAAACGCTATGTTGACAATTAATGACAAGTTGAATACTGTAACGGCACAAGTACATGATACTAAACAGAGAGTGAAAGTAAAAGAAACATAGCAAAAACATAAATTTGAAAAATCTCGTGATCAACACAAATATAATGCCTTGCGCAAAATTGAAAAGGAATTGGATCTAGCAATGGAATCACGAAGCACAACTGAGGTGGTCGATCACATCAATAATGCACGAGAACTTGCAGCCAGCCGTATGTTTACATTAAGAGTAGCAGAAGAATATGGCTGGAATATTGCATCAGCTTTACCTGATACACAAGATGATTGGATGAAAGGAAAGAATTCATTGATCGAAAAAGCCAAAATCTTGTAGAAATAAAAAGAGTGAAACGACAGAAAATATATGAATCATCAAAAACAAATAATGTTGTGTACGGAGAAAATAAATATTATGACTCCAATAAATTTTTTCGTCCCAACTATAGAAACAAAAACAAAAGCTCAAACTCCAGTAAATGCTATATCTGTGAGGGATACAAACATTACGCAAATGAATGTCCATCAGATCCAAACAAAGATAGTTACAAACAAAGAGCATATTACTCACAAGAATATACATCCTATAAAAACAAATACAATAAAAACTACATTGGTAGAGATAATGAAAACAGGAAACATGATTGACTACACTCGGGTACAGAATCAAATATCAGTAACAGGATGCTTACACTTAAAACAGCATTTAAATTATTGGAAGATGAAAATACAGGCATCAAAACTAGTAATAAATTGGTTAGAACATGGCATAACTTTATTTCCCAGGGGTTTAATAAGGTTAATGAATCAAGCAGATCCACACCCATATCCATTAACCGAAGAACAAAACATTTGGTTAGAAATGGAAATAGAGAGACTAAGCAAAACACAAGCAATTACATTAGTATCCAGTTTCCACAAGTGGCCAAGAACATTGATGGAAGTCAGTTCAATATTTTTAATTCCGAAAAAAGGGTACAAGAAATGGAGATTAGTAATTGACTTGAGACGATTAAATGCAACACTACCAGAAAAGACATTCAAATTCGAAGGATTTGGAATGTTTCTTTACATGATTGGATGAAACTGGTGGATAATAGTATTAGACTTGAAGGAGGGCTATCATTACATACTAATGAACAAAGAAGCTTAACAGTTACTGAGATTTCAAATAAAAGAAAAATGGTATCATTATCAAGTAATGCCTTTCAGTTTAAGCCAAGCAGTTTGGATCTTTTCAAAAATAATGCAAGCAGTAATTGGTCATTGGAGATCCCTAGGAATTTTTTGTGGAAATCACTTGGACGATATATGGATTGCTCATCCGGATCAAAAAATATTATTGAAGATTTGAAATTCAGTAATTCTACCAGATCTAATGAAATATGGTTTTGTACTAGCTGAGAAAAGTCAATTAGAACCAACACAAAAAGCAAAATTTTACAGATTAATTCTAAATACAGTAACAGGAATAGTATCAGCACCAGATACGAAAATAAGAGAGACATTATACAATCTACAAACAATATTAAAAGCAAAATCAATAACAGCACACGAGTTAGCAGCAAAACAAGAAAAATAATCAGCTTAAATCAAGCATTTATCCATGCCAAAGTATGTTGTTTAGAGTTTTACACAATAATCGATGCAGAAAACAGAAAACCATGGCAATGGAACAATAAAGTAATATTAACAACTTAAGCAAAGAACGATTTAAAATGGATAATAGAAAATCTCAAGAAACGAAATGGAAAACTTGCTTGAAAACCATCCCAAATTATACCTATTTTTGTAGATGCTTCAACAATAGGATAGTCAGCAGTACTTGGAAACAAAAAAGCCTTTGGAAATTGGAAATACAAGCATCAACACATAGATATAGCACATTTGGAAGCATTAGCAGTACTACTGGGCCTCGAATCATTTATTGCAGATATAAAGAAACAAATAATAAAAATATTTATCAACAATCGTATAGTACAAAAAACAATAGAAGCAGGAGAAAAACGAACATGGTAAAAAGAAATTATGCGAGAATGGAACTTTTGCGACCAGTACAATATACAGATTCACAAATTTCAATAGATTCCTACCAAATTGAATCCAGCCGACGAGTTAACCAGATTTTTCGACGATTCGGATTGGATGTTAGCAGAAGAAATATTCGAAATGATAAATTTAAAATGGGGTCCATTTACAATAGACAGAATGGCAAACTATCTATCAAAAAAGTTAATTCGTTTCAACAGTCGTTATTATTGTTCAGAATCAGAAACCACAGATTGTTTCACTCAAAAATGGAAATATGAAAACAACTATGTATGTTCTCCACTGAGTTTAATACATAGAGTACTCGAACATGGAATACAAGATCAGGCACAAATGACAATAATTATACCAATATGGGAGTCGGCTCCATGGTGGCCAACACTTATGCAACAAAAAATAGAAAAAATAGTATTACCCTCAGCAAAGCTCAGTTTTCACCCAAGTCCCAAGGGAAATTTAATACCAGAATCTTGAAAAAACAACCAATGGAAATTTCAAGCAATAAAAATCCATTTTTAGGAGAATTATTAAATAAAGCATACGGGCTTTTGTCAACAAAATCAGCTTATAAAAACGTCTTTATTCATACTGAACAAATTTTAATACGTTTTGTAAAATTCATGGATTAGAAGCACAACCAGCACAATCAGATACTATATTAATGTTTTTGACATGGAATGATATCCTATACAAAACGGGCAACCTTAGAATCTATTTGATTGCAATCAGAAGATATCACTTAGAAAACAACCTGACAAATTCTACAACAGATATAAAAGTACAAAATTTAGCAAGAAAGTTAAGAAAGTTATGGGCAATGGAACATGAGACAATATGGCCACGTGATCCACTACCAACTAGTGCTTTGCGATATTATGTTAATAACCCACCACTTGGGATATCGAATATGCTTTGGAGACGAGACTGTGCAATAATTGCTTTAGGACTTCGTATAATGCGCCGCCCATCAGAGTTATGTAACTTACGAATAGCAGATTTAAAGTTTGTCGATGATATCTGTTGGGTAAGAATTAATAAATTCAAAACAGATCAATTCACAAGTGGGAAATTTATACCAGTAGAGATAATAGCGTCAAAGTATTGCCCAGTAAAATTGGTCTGCGAATATCTAAGTCTTAGAGAAAATTTGAAGGATCATGATCCCTTGTTTTTAAATATAAACAGAAGAAAGATGACAACAGGTACTATTAATTCTATAGTAAAGAAGGTAGTAAAACATGATGGATTAATAAGTAAGTATTCTGGACACAGTATACGCATTGAAGGAGCAACGGAAGCAATGAAAGCGGGTTTAAGTTTAACTCAAATTATGAGTATTGAAGGATGATTATCTCAATCAGTAGCATTATATCTTAGAGCCTTTTTGACAATACTACACAGTACATCTGCAAAAATAGGCTTTTAGCATAAGCATTTAATACTCTGTATTTTCCCGTTCTGTTCTTTCATAGTACTAATAAAAGATCTGAGTGAGAATAATAGACCCGATGCATGACGATAGTCATGCAAGGGTTATTATTACGAAGATCACCTTACATGTGATTTGTGTTACAAATTTTGGTATTAAGTAGTTATGACATGATGATGAAATCATCAGTGCTTGTTTTCTTCACTACCTGATTTTCTATCTGGCTCTTTCGTATAGGCACTCCCACCCTTCCTCAAAGCCAAAATAAAAAAAAAAAAAGAGAGAGAGAGAGAAATGCGCCTAGTGACAAAACTAGAGTAAAAGGCGAAAAAAGGAATTGTGATATATCAAACGCTTAGAAACTCACGCATTGATTATTTGAGCTTGCTCAATGATCTGCTTTCCAATGTTCAAATAGGCTGCAGATCATCATGCATGTTCCCAGTTCTCGATATTCTTATATTATATTCTATGGAATCATGAATTTGCTTACCAAAGAAAAAGATAGGGTGGATGGTAAAGGAAAGAAATAAGGGAGATGTACAGGCAAAGCAAATGCTTGGAAACTTACTCGTTGTCAAGTCGATCTTGCTCAATGATTTGCTCTCCAACGTTTAAATATGCTGCGGATCATCATGTATGATCCCAGTTCTCGATACTCTTATATACTTTGGAATTACCAAATATAGCGGAAATGTAATTAAGGAGTTATAGTAATTAAGAAATATTAATGGAGATTGCCGGTAAGATAAACAAGTAAACAAATAATAGTTTAATAAGAATAATTTAGGTAGTCATAGCTAGATACAGTACTTAGTAGCATAGTACTATTCCCGTTCTGTTCTTTCATAGTACTGTTACACTTGATCTTCGCCCAAGATCATCACTACCCCTTGCCCAATTTTTACTAGCATTTACCCTTGAAATGTTATCCATTCTAGAATAATTCTTGTATTACTATTCTTGTTATTGTTTAGCACTGTACTTTTCGTGCTAATGTTGCTCTAGAATA